AGGTGTGACCCCGACCGTAGTTCCCTCAGAGGCCTTTTGGCGCCAAATATAAAATGGCGGCGGCGCCTCCCTGAGGCGATGGGGGAGGTTTGATGCTTTACAGAGCCCTGAGCCCCTCAAAGGGTCAGTGTCTGTAAATGTATATGTATATTTAGATATGTATATGCGCGTATTTCAGTAGTTTGCGTGTATCAGTCCCCTCTGAGTATCTAAGATTGAGCCCCCCTCAGGGTGCCGGACCCCCCTCTCCTCACTCAGGTGCCCCTGACCCACTCAAAATACCCTTTTTTTGAGGTAAATTCAGAAGTCTGGGGCCTTCTTCTTCCCTGGGGTGTTTTCCTGCGGGGCTTGTAAAAGCCGAAGTGTAAATAATATCCTTAATGCGCTTAAATTAATCCTTTAGGCTTAGTTTTTCCACACTTAAGTCCCCCACAGCAGACACAGGGGTCAGTTCTCAGCTCACCGTAAAAAGATTTAAAACAACTTAGATCCGTAGAACTTGATGCCAGTCTACATGTCCACAGGAATGTGTTATGTTTTTAACTGATTTTATTTAAGGTTTCATAATAAATACTTCTGCAGGTTTTCCCAGCTGGGAACACCGAAGTCAAACAGCTCTGCAGAGGAGAATTTACATTTTTCACCTCTGTTTTTACACGGATGGTTCAAAATCAGCACACTTGGTTATTTCTGGAGATTACAGGAGAGCTGCATTCCATTTTCACAGCAGAATGCAGATTTTTTTTTCCAACTTTTGCCTATTTGTGGCACTTTTGAAGTGCTGCCTCGGCCTGCCCCCAGCCACGTACCCCCCAGCTCTCAGGACAATTTTGGGATGCTCCACATCACTTCACCCCAACCAAACCCAAAAAAAGCACATTCAAGAAGACAAACCAATCCCAGAAAAACAATCTTGGGGGTGGAGGGGGGAAATAACTGCTTAAATTGGGTTTTTCTCCCCCCATTTTGAGGTGATGCTCAGAAATAAACCTCAGCAGGTGAAGATCTCCCCGAAGAAAACTCAAGGCTTCCACTTGAGCAAATGCAGCATTTTTTTTTTTGGTTATTTTTAAGGTGGTTGATTAATTGGGTAGGAAACCTGAAATACTTCCATTTGGGGGTAAGATCAAACTAAATTCTCCATCTTCTCTCTCAGCTCAGCCCCTGTCACAGACCCCATGATGTGCCTGGTGTGTGTCCCAGCCAGGAGTCACACCAGGAATAAAGCACATGAGGCATAAAAAGATGAAAAAAAATCAAATTTTGGGCAGTGAACACCCAGCCTTGACCCCACCCAGCAAGGTCAGAGCATTTCCATGTGTATTTACCCTCCTGGACATCATTTTTTTCTGCTTGGACTCAAGCCCCAAGACTCAAAACGATTATTTTTCTCAAGAAAAAGGTTTGTGCTGACGCCCTGGGCACATCCCTGCCTCTTCCACCTTGAATTCCTGAGGGGAAGGGGAAGGAATGAGGCGGATTTGGGAGAAACTGGGTCGGGGGAACGGCAGAGGAGGGTCAATTCCCACCGCTCCGATTGCACAGATGAGNGGGGAGGGGCTGAAGGTTTCTCAGGGAGCCCATCACCGTCAAGCCCAGGGGGAACTGCTGAGTCAATTAGCGATGGCAAAACCGCCCAGGAACGAACAAAAAAACCAACCCAAGGACCCCCTGAAGCGACAAGAAAACCAAACCAAACCCCGGCGGAGAGGGGGAGAGCAGGGAGGGGCGAGGAGGGGCGGGAAGGGCTTCAGATGAGGTCGAAATCCAAGGGGCTGATGCTGGCGATGGGAGCCCGCCAGAAGTTGAAGGTGTTGAACTGCAGCAGGGTGTCCTCCTCCTCCTCCTCCTCCTCCTCCTCCTCCGGGGCCAGGTCCTGGCTGAGCCGCTCCCGCTGGCCCACGAGCTGGCCCAGCCCTGCCTTGGGCTTGTAGAGGGCCATGTCTGCGAGCCCCAAGCCCTCCAGCTCCGCCACGTCCAGCCGCGGGATCGGCATCCTCCAGTAGATGAAGGAGTCGTACTGGCTGCTCATGGTGTCCAGCATCCTGGGGGGCTGCAGGGAGGGCAGGG